ATTTATTTATCAGCATAAATATAACATACACACACACACACACACACACACACACACACACATATATATACACACACACACACACACACACACACAAATGTATGTATGTATGTATGTGTGTGTGTGTGTATATATATAGTTTCAAGTTGTGTGAGTCTGGGACTCAGAGGTGCTCATCGAATCCAATGATTTTCACAAAAGAAGATGAACATATGTGTCCCAAATTAATGTTACAGGATCCAATCTGGTTTGGTCACTGCAGCCAGAGGTTTTGTCTTCCGAACTTCCAGACTTGTGCTGAGCCCATCTTTAGGAACTTCTCTCTGGCCTCATCTAGGCTAGGAAGAAAGTCCCTGAGGATAGGCTCCAGCACGAGTCTGGAAGTTCAGAAGACAAAATTTCTGGACAAGGTGACTGGCCCAGATTGGATCCTCCAATGATTTTGTTTAACAATGGATGTTGTGACAGTGTGATGTAAGCTTCTCCCTGTTTGTACATGCTTGCTTATATTGTGTAAATAAAAAAGAACACTTATTTTGTCATTTTCCCTTCCTGTATGACTTGTCAGGGCTCCAGGTAAATAGAAATCTTTTCAGTTCTCCATGTGGAGAGAAGACGAGTGAAGCTGGAATAATTATACAACAATGGGCAACAATACGTAAAGAGAATTCAGAATTGGACCAAGTGGATTCCTATTACTGGTTTAAATCAGCCTGAATCAATGCAACAGTTGGAATTACCCTCTTCTACTTTTGATACATAAACACCATCATTCCCAAAACAATGAGAACAGATTGTAAAGGAACAGTGGTAAAATAATGTTTTTTACCTGAAAAGATACTAGCATCTCTGTCTAAAAAGCAGAAGATGCTTATCATTTACAGCAAGTTCTTTCAGTGCATACAAAAATCTTTCCTCATTTAATCTCAAACTTCCTTTGAATGTTATAGATGAATAATTTATTTCCTTTATTTTTATCACTTTTCATAAATGTGTTTTTATCTTATTTTACTTTATTGGTATATCCTTGTAATTTAATATGTTTATGATAAGCCATTCTGAAATATGATATCATAGAACAGAGTATAGAAATTTATTACATAAATAAAAATACATGTTAAAAAACCAGTAATGCTAGGGTAAATAAAAATATAATCATGTTCCCAGTGATTACAATGAAGAAATGACATGTTTCTCAAACCAGTTGCATGTTACGTATATTGTCAGCTCTTAAAAACTATTTATGAGACAAGAACTCTACCTCAAAGGAATAGGACAATAGCCATATTCTAAGCAGAAAAATGCAAATTTTATCTCAAGCATCACATCTTTTTATAAGGTGTTCAAGCTTCTATAGTTGATCTTTTGGCTTTTAGGAAATGTAAACCTTAACCAATACAAAAAGCTATCAGGATTGAAAAAATGGACATTTAAGATTATGTAGACTTAACCCAAATTTCAAAGCATACCTGATCTTTAACTGTGAATTCAGTTGAAGTAGTGGCATCTGCAGGAATGCCAAAAACTCAAGAAGGCAAGCATGGTCACAATCAAAGCCTTGTATATGCACTGTGTCATTTGCATATACATAACAAAAAAGGCAGGGCTTCAGTTGTGATGCTGCACTTCCATGTTGAAGATTATGAACCCCTCTTAATCCCCATGAATTGAGATAATGCAAGAAAAAAATTGTATCTCTGCTCCGAAATATCTCAAGATACTCATGTATATCCAATAGGTGCTATCATGAATTTCCTTTTCAATACCAACATATAAAACCTACCTTTCGTTTTCTTCTGGATTTAGGAATCACTTTTTCTGCTGGCAGGTCAGCAGCAATGTTATATTGCATTTGAATGGCTTCTTTAACTCCTGTGTTCATGATCAGTGGCTCCTCAGGTAATTGCCGTGGGATTCTGGAGAGCAGAGTCAAATCAATTTTGACCCAAAGTGCTTTGACATCATCAGTATCTTTTAGAGGAGACAAAAGCTCATTCCTGCCAAAAGGAACCAGTGTGTAGAACTGTTCTTCCAGCTCTTTCGCTATATCATTGCTAGTTCTGGTGTTGATGGAACCAAAGGCACCACAATTATTGGTTTTTTTGTGACCATTATTATTGCTTGAATTCTTTTGTTTCTGGTCACTTCCAGCTGATGCTGAGGCTACGGTCTGTAGTTTGTGTGAAGGACACTCCTCTTGTTCGGACTGGGACTCTGTGTCAGATGAAGTTGAAGATGAAGATTCTGTCTCAATAAATTCCTTGGACTTCGGTGCTGTTTTCCCTGAACCTCTTGTGCGTCTCTTTTCCACGGCAGTCACAGACTGTGGTTCTTTTTGTTGTTCAATGTTGCTGCTGCAAGGCCTAGTCTTGGGCTGATTACAAATGTTATTATTCGCTAAATGAATTTGGTTCAAATCAAGATTGTCAGCTGCATGGTTGTTTAAGTTATCACCAGCCAGGCTACTCTCTGTCCTCCTTGGCTGTTTTTTAGATACTGATTTTGAGGCAGCAGAAAGAAGCGTTTTTTGCTTTCTTCCCTTGTGTCCTGGGGGTAAGTTAGTTGTCCTAGATCTCAGTTCTTCTTTACTAAGATTCTTAATAGCTTTTTCCTGGAAACTGGCTTGTCCAACAGGAGATACATTTTTATTGTCTTGCCTTTCTTCTTTTAGTTTGCTGTAATACTGAAAGACCTCCAATCCATTTTGGTTCAAAGCAGAAGCTTTATGAGGATTAACCTTATTTAACCATTTATCCAATTGCCACTTGTTAGGAGACGACTGTTCAGGCTAGAAAATAAAGTTTAATACACAACATGTTACACTTTTCTTTCTTGCCTTCAAATCAGTGTTTACTCCTAGTGAATATCTGCACAAGTTCCTGTCGTTTTCTTGGCAATATTTCAGAAGTGCTTTGTCATTGCCTTCTTTCTAGAGCCCATTGGCACCCAGTTGGCTTGTGCCTAAGACAGGACTAGAACTCACAGTCTCCCAAGTTCTAGCTTCATGCCTTAACCACTACCCCAAACCGGATCTCAATATATTATAAAACTTTACTCATAAAAGTTTTAAGGAGCACCTTATACTGTTAAGAACTGCAGATTTGGTATATGGCCAGCATATAAAAGTTTGCTATTTTGAAATTTTGATTACTATCAGATGAAAAAAACAATTAAACTTTCCAAGAGTATAAACTATTAGGTTTTCTATATAGCTAAACTTATATATTGTCTCTCTGTCAATCAGTAGCTTCAGTTCTGCAAGGATTAGATACAGGTAGTCCTCAACTTAATAACTACAATTGAGCTCAGAATTCATGTTGCTACATGAGACATTTGTTAAGTGAGATTTGCATCATTTTGTGACTTATCTTGCCACAGTTGTTAAGTGAATCACTGCAGTTGTTAAATTAGTAATATGGTTGTTAAGTGAATCTAGCTTCTCCATTGACTTTGCTTGTCAGGAGGTCGAAAAAGGGGCTCACCTGACACCCCCCCCCAGATGCTGCAAACATAAATATGAATCTGAATTGCTTTTGTCTGTTTTATTTGAGCAGCTTATTGTTACTTTACTTTTAATTTATTTCTGTAACCTAACTTTAAATCAGAAGGCAGCTGTAAAAGCCATAATAAGATGTTTAAAATCTTCAAGTGTGTTATAAAAATGCAATGTAAGTGTGTCCAGAATCCATTTCTAGCATGCTACATTTAAATGCTTTAATCTGTTGCTATTTTGTTGCCATATTGCAGCTGCACAACAGCTCATCCTGTTTATTTTTTTAATGTTTAATTTTTTTGAGCTTCGGGAACTATGGAAATCGGGCTTCCCATAGGCAGTGTCAGAGTCTGCAGTTACACTGCCTTTGTCTAGATCTAGAACAAGGGTGACAAACTCAATTTCATTGAGGGACACATCAAGGTTGTGTTTGAGGGAGAGGTCGAGTGGGTGTGGCATGGTCAGGGTAGGCATAACCAGCTTGACATCTTGCAGTCAGCGCGCAACCCTCCCGGGCTCCATTTTCATTGGCAGAGGGGCCGTCGCAGCCAAAGATGGAGCCTGGGAGGGCTGCTCACCGGCTGCAAGACGTCAAGCTGGCTATGCCCACCCTGACCATGCCACACCCACTCAACCCCCCGCAAACATAATTTTGATGTGGCCCTCAATGAAATCAGGTTTGACACCCCTGTTCTAAATCTAGACATACACAATATAAATGCAGACTCTGACATTGCCAATGGGAAGCCTGATTTCCATAGTTCCTGAAGCTTAAAAAAAAATAAACAGGATGAGCTGTCATGCAGCTGCAATATGGCAATAGAATAGCAACAGATTAAAGCATTTAAATGTAGCGTGCTAGAAATGGATTCTGGACACACTTGCAATGCATTTTTATAACACACTTGAAGGTTTTAAACATCTAATTATGGCTTTTACAGCTGCCTTCTGATTTAAAGTTAGGTTGCAGAAATAAATAACAAGTAAAGTAATAATAAGCAGCTCAAATAAAACAGACAAAAACAGTTCAGGTTGAACCAATAATCATTATGGGCTTATTTTTATTTTGACTAAATCTGGATTCTTATCTAAGAGTTTAAAATGTTTACTATATTAAAAATATTTTTGAAAACCTTAAACTTCATCCTCAGGAATATTTGTTTGAAGAGTGTTTTCTAAACAATACAGATGAATAAATAACATCCGCAGAGCAAAATACATAGCTACAGTGAAATGATTCAGATTTGTTGCTGAAATCTTCTGTAGATAGGAGAGGAATTATCCAATGATTTCCCAATACTAATGAAAGGCATTATTCAATACTCTACCTCATCCTGTCTGCTGATTAAAGGAGGAAACTATAATTAGTTTTATTTGAGGCACTGATATGTCTGTAAGCCTCTTTGTAATGCCTGAATCTTCTGGTGGCAGTAGCTTTATGTACCTGCTCACATCTGAGATTGTGTTACTGATGATCATTCAGCATGCAGTTAACTTTCAGTCAGCCACATTAATGATGCTTACTTGCTCAAAGTCCCTGACAGATTCGCATACATTTACATACGCATACCTGTGTGTGTGTGTGTGTGTGTGTGTGTGTGTGTGTGTATTTATGTAAATGTATGTGAATCTGTCAGGCACTTTGAGCAGGTAAGCATCACATATGTACATACATGCATGCATGCATGCATGCATACATATATACTATATTTTTCAGAGTATAAGGCGCACCAGAGTATAAGATGGACCTTAGTTTTTGGGAACGAAAATAGGGGGGGAAATTCTGCCTACTAGGTATTCATCTGACTAGCATCCTTAGTCAGCTAAAGTCAGCTTCAGCACATAGGTTTGCTGGTTTTGAGCATGCACGCATGTGCTTTTTATCCCCTGATTGGGGGGGAAAAACAGCTTCTAAAACATAGCTGATTGTTGGAGAGTGAAGCAATGAGAAAAGCAGGCAAAGCACAGAAGATGCTTCACTCGTTAGCGCCTCATTAAGGCTGAAAA